AGTGATTAAATAAATGAGATATCGATTGAAACTAATGTGTTATATATGACGACAACAGCTGTTTTTGTCCGCAAATTCACTAACCATTTACTGATGGCTCAAAATAGGGCTCAAAACCAGTTTAATCATCGGTTCAATTGTCCGCCACTTTGTGGACAACGATTTACGGCAAACATTCAAATCCAATACTCAATCGTCTAATGATTGGAAACACAAATGATTCACACAATTAGCAAATTTTGTTGAAATACATAAGCATTTGATGTGTTATTGATTTGAGTGTTGAATGAATTGTTGTGTTTTGTGTCTCTCATAGGCTTTGACGTCATTGGGAGCACAGGTTTGCCATAAATGCCATCATTACGGAAGGCATACTCTGTTGGGCTAACCCTATATTGCATAACATGTTTATAGCACTCAATTCACGCACTGTTGTTGTGTTGTGTGTGAGATAGGGCTCAGGGCTTATCCACTGCCACCTCTTCTTCCTTCTCTCGGATCACAATTAGTGGCTAAACATAATTGCAATCCATTTATGAGACACTCGTCTCAATGTATAACACAATTATAAGTTATAATTGCTAACACAAAACGTGTGTATTTTGTTTGAGACAAAAGCGTATGTCATTTATCACGAGTTAAAGACCAGTCGTGTCAGTCATAGGACTCCGCACTGTATTTAAATACCCAATGGTTTTGTTTGCGACACAAAAACACATTATATTATCTCCGAATAAAAATGCGTTTAAAAAGTTGTGCCCAAAAACAGGGTTTTTGTACTTTGAAATCACTTTTTCCGTACCAAACACTCCGCGGCTATTGATGTGGAGTTTGAACTTCGATATAGTTTATTAACTTTTCATTTCAATAATTCAAACCATTTCTAATTGATATCTATTAAAAGAAATAAAAACTTTCTTCTAATCAATAATTGCTTTTTTCAGTCGACGATTGAAATCAATACCAAGTGTTGTGTTCAAGGATTGGTAATGAATGGTAAAAATTATGGTGAAAAAGAGTTTGTATTTATACTGTTTATCAATTTATGAATTTGTTTTTATTAACTTTATTTTCTATGATAAACAATACAACACTTTTAAACAAATAATGGGTTTTAATTAAAGCAAATGTTTTAAAATGTTTAATTTTTTAAAATTCAATTCAAAAGTCGATTAATTATTACTTAATTTTATTTCATTGAGAATAATATGAAACACAAAACACAGAGCAATATAATTGACATACATTTTGTGTGTTTGTAATTATTCTAACATTTATTTCAATATTTAGTGAACAGGTGTTCAAACGGATACTCAATACAAGTTTATTCAACTTTTCGGCTCGAATTATGTGATAAAATAACGGATAAAACTTCTTATAATATAATTAAATTGTATGTAAAAGTCATTTATTATTGAAGAAAACTTTCAGAATTTAAAGACACGTTTTCGACATTCCTTTTGAGGCCAAAAATATTATATTTTAAAATATATTTCAAATTTTAAGATTTCTAAATGCAATATACAAACCATTGCTCTCATGGTGTCGTTCTTGAGCTGTTCCTCCGATATCTGTTCGCCAACATTGCCGTCCTTTTTATGCTTTGAGTCCAACTTTTTTGAGTAACAATTTCTGGTCTTCTGGTAGTAGTGTTGGTCAGAACACCAGAGTCTTCGCCTATCATTAACAGTGGATCCTTTGGGAGCGCTTTCGATCATACATTCATTTTCCATTTGTTTGCCCTCTTTTGAGAAGACAATGGCATCGCATTCATCCAGTTTTCGCAATATATCGGGATTTATGTCTGTGTTTACTATAAACGTAACATTCATAGAGTTTTTCAGATCGTTCAAGAGTTTATTAAAGAGTTTTATTATATGAAATATTATCCCTAATCTATACAATTTGTAAATCATATACACTAATCAAAGTATATTCACTATATTTTATTATTTATTATCCGTACAAAAAGCCAATTTATAGTACAAATTAATTGATTGATAGTTGTAATTATTAGATAAAAGCAAGCGCAACAATTTCAGTATTAACTTAAATGTAAATTAAGTTTTATTTTTAAACTTTCACTTAAGTTTCTAGATGTTTCAAACTCACCACAAAACGCATCCATAAATCGTTCAAAATCTTGAATAAATTTTTGATCGGCAGTCGGATTGCCATTGATTTGAAACGAAGTATTAGAAATTACTATAAGAGTTGTTATTAGAATTGTTAAAGAATTCATTCTTAATTTAATTGATAAAACTTTAATTTTTTTAGTCAAATTTAATACACTGTCAATTGGTTTAAAATTATTCATACAAATGATGGGAAATTCTTTGTTGAGTGCATTTTATCTATGAAACAAAAATCATTAATATATTTGGCTAAACATCTGAATAATTGAATTCTTCCGCACTTTCTGTTCAAATATTAGATAATAAAGAGGACACCAATAAATGCAGAGGAAGACCAGCACATAACGAATCCCCCGATTCTATAGTTATTTTATATGCAATGAATAATTTATATCCGATTCCCACTCTCTGTCCTTATTATGACCTAATTTTTTAATTAATTGAAATTCAATTTTCGTTACAATTAATATAGATTTCACTCAATAAATAACAACTTTAAAGTAATAAAACACCAATAATTACAAAAAGTTTGCAATCATTATACGAAACAGTTTAATACTGTTATTATTCACTATATTGATAAGGACTATACATGTATATTATGCAATATGTGAAGTGGATAACCAAGCTCATTCATCAACCATCACATCAATTTCATTTTATTTGAAACACTAATTATCAAAATCATATCAAATCCAATACCTGTAGCCTTAATCCAGTAAATTTTACTTATAAACTTAATTATATTTAAATAAGATTGTTATATTAAATACATAAATAGTTAACAATAAATATTCAATAAATAATTAGCAATAAAAGTCTATAAATAACTTTAAAATAAAATATAATTGTTTCTAGCAACAATTGTTTTGATATTGAATTAAACATGTTAACTTAAGATAACTTAAAAATAATAAAATAAATATTTAATTAACATTAAATATGCGAAACGACTAACAGTAAATATAGGACTCAAATGTTCACATATAATGATGTGGTTTTAAAATTGCTAATTACAGTCAAATAAGCCTTTATTAAAGTTAACAGTTAATATGAAAAGTATTTGACAAAAACAACACCAATGAATCAAATCAATTAATAAATGACAACAAATTAAATCATAAATGTAAGTGTAGTGTAGGTCTAAAACAGTGCAATCGTAAAGTTAGATATGATTAATAAAACCTAAAACGTTAAGCCGTTTACACAAACGGCATATGAGCTGAGAATTTGCCTCAAAACCACTAGTAATTGACTCCTCTATGAAAAGTAGAGCCAAACGTACGAAACGATTGGCCGTTAAGTAAAAGCATTGAAAGACTATCTGATCGTCGAAACTATCGGTTAATTAGGGACCAATTGGCGGTCAATCGGTGGACAGTCGACGAGTTGTGCTCATCTCTAGACTACTATCGATAGCCATTGGAGTCGACATCTGATATGCAATGCAATTGAGTGTCGCGTCTGTATTGAGACAGTAGTGTCTGTATTGAGATTGTATTGAGAGTTGCGTTGAGAGTGTGTGCAGTGTTTGCAGTGTTTCTCTCTTTCACTCTTTTCTCACTGTTTATGAGATTAAATGCCTTTTCATTGCAAACACAACACAACTCACGACTCAATCCAACACTCAATTCATCTCATCGAATCTAGGCACTTTTATTAGTAAATTCTGTAAGTTGCTGTCCTAATAGTGCACAACTGGCGAGTGACGGAGAGTTCTGTACGGATTTGCCCAGGCTGTCTTCAGCCCGGTTACAGACGCGCTGCCATACCACTATAACCTGCGGTCGAGTGCGTCGTCCAAACGTCTTCGCGTCGACGACCGCTCCTCGAAGACCATTACCGCCGACCGCACGACCGATAGTCAGCTGTTGAACAGTCAAAACTGCGAAGAGATGTCCGACTCGATGGACGCGTCGACTCTGAGCCAGACATCGGTGGTCCAGAAGTTGACAAAAATGCCAAATAAGTCATACAATTTGAGGCGAAGAGTCGGCGACAGCGCATCCAAAGCGGGCCGACACTCGTCCCCAGCCGTGAGTCGGACCACAATTGACGACTTGCCCGACGATTGTCTGCTCGATATCTTTGAAAAGTTGGATACGATTCAAGACAAGTGCGCTCTTCAGAGAGGTATGTGTTTTACAATCAATCCTTTGTTTACTTTTTTTCATAACGTAATCCTTGCGTTTGGTTTTGTCTTTCGCTCATCGGATCCATTAGTGAATAAGAGGTTTTACTTTTTGGTCAACCGTTTACTGAAGGCTCAGAAGACGTTTACGGTTGGCTCCACTTTTGGCGACAACAGTATGTTTTTGATTATATTTGTTATTGAATGAGATATTGAGACCATTTATTTGGTGAATCAGATGAACAAATGCTGACACAAAGAATCTGCCGAACGATAATCAAGAGGTGTCCGAATCTGGAGACCTTCAAAATGCCCGGATTTTATACCAAAACCAGCACTAATACACTCGAAGGTTAGTTTCACAACACATTGAATTTGTTTACCATTTGTTATCTCATTATAACGATTGCCACTACAGAGCGAATCGGAGACAAAGAAATGTTTTCATTGGGTCGGAAGTGCAAAGAACTGCGCGAACTGGACATCTGTGGCTGCGGTAACGTTACCGAAAGGGGTATCAATTATATCGCCGACGTCTGTCCCAAACTCGAGAAGTTGTCCATCAGTTTCTGTCTTCAAGTGTCGGGCGCTTCCCTTCAGAAGTTGACGAAGAATTTCAGGACTCTTTCGATCAACACTAACGATATGACACCTGTAAGTGAT